TTAATTCCTTTTTGTATTTCACGCTCCTCTATGGGCATAAAAAAGAAGCTGTGAATAAGTATTCGCATAATTCTGATTTACTTTTATTTGTTCTGCCAGCTTTTTAACTACTTCTTTAAATCTCGTATTAAACTCGTTAGGTACATCAATTTTGTTTGTTAATGTTTCATTCAAATCATTTTTGATGTTCTCTATAATTGGTATGACTATTTTTTGTATTGTTTTCCATAAATGTTGTGCATTGTCTGAATTTAACTCCATTTCATTTTTTTAATATTTATACTTGGTTTTTTAATTAAAGCATTTAGTTTGTTTCTAAATTTTTAAATTTTATTTTTAAGTATGTTAATATTTTCTGCACACTTTGAATTTTTTGAAACATATCATTTTTTTATTAATTGAGTTTAACAAGACATCAGTTAACCAAGGAGCTATTATTTTTTCTTGATTTGTAGCGAGTTTTAGTACATTCTTTGTTATTTCAATAAATTTATCTGTTGCAGTATTGGGATCTGCCATTTGATATATAGATCCCAATTTATATTTTGAAATGCAGGTTTAGTTTTTTATCGGTAATATAAGTTACAAATTTATCGTTATTTTCTTTAAATGTTTTATTATTTAAGATTATTTGAAGTATAGTTGTATAGTGATCGGCAATGTTAGTTTTAAGAATAATTGGTAAAATAATTTCATCTAAATTGTGCCTTTCTCCTAAGAATATATTTTCTGTACAAATTTTACTGTTACCCTGCACTCGTGTAGGTCTATTTATTGTAGAAAAGTAGCCATTTTTATTTAGAATGTTTAAATAGTCCGAAGTAATTGTGTCGTTGGTTTTCAAAAGGTCTATATTACTGTCTCTTATCCTATAATATAATCATTTATCATTAAAAAGGGCATTACTTTAATTTTAAACAAACAGTTACTGATTACCTTATTATATGAATAGATAATAACGCCATTAAATGTCTATATTTATCAAAAACTTGTGTAGAAACGTTTTAGTGCCTATTATATTTTGAATTTCTTAGTTATTGCTTATATCTATGCAGAGAATTTATTGAAGAAAATTATACACTTTGGGTACTGTGTAATTTTTTACTTAATACAGGGGAGATTTGTGTAAAGTGTAAAAGACGTAAAAGTAAATTGTTATGAGTTTTCTAATATATTTCATCTCAACCTGTATATTTGAGATTCAGGATGAATCATATTTATATTTTTGTAGGCATGACTTAATGTGAGGATTTTTTCACAATAGGCCAATGAAGTCGCAAAGAATAATGAAAGCATTTATTCAATTTATTTATATACAACAAAAAGATGTACAGTAAAGTTAACCACAGTATCTGGAGTTGAAAATAAGTCGATTTAAGATAACTTGCTTATATAAAAAAATGTGAAGTGATTTTTTCTTTAAAACGACTCAACATATTTTTATAAAAATGTACAAGGGATCTTAGTACACAGTGACCAATAAAATAAACCTCTCTGACCCCCTGTTTAAGTCGATAAATACCCAAAATGAAATTATTCTATTGATCTTAAACCACTATTTGTTTTTATTTTGTAACTTAATTTACAATTATTCCCTTGAATTGAAAAAAGTAAAACAGTAAAAAAATCATTAACAAATATTCAGTGGTATTTTTTGTTTCCGATTTCAGGGGCAAAAAAACAAAAATCTATCATAGCTTTACTTTGAATTTCACAGGTCACATGACCGCTCCCACCGCCCAGACACAGTACAACTTGTTAACTTCCTCTCCTGCACACAACTACAAATAGCGGGAAAAAACCGCAACTTCCCACTTTTCGCAGTCATATGAGGGACTATAAATCGGTCCTATGAATTTTTATTAATTTGCATGGTCTTTTGGATTAGTGATAATTTAACTTGTAAGGATTAATTATGGAAATAGTATGATTATGCAAGGTGTTTCTCATTTGAAAGGTTTTTTGCATATTTAATACGTATTCACTTTATGTTTGTTAAATTTTAAACTAAAATTTACGTAAATACCTAACTCTGCTCCAAATGGTTAGTTAAAGGGAATGGCATTGTTCAGGGAGACAATAATTCATTGTCAACGGATCCAATAACAATACAGTTAAATTTACAACTAGTAGAAGTTGTATACACAAAAATTAAACAACGCCAAGAATTTAAATCAAATGTAATCCATTCATGATGACCGAGCAATATTTTGGTCCGTTCGAAAAAATCGATAATTAGATTAAATGGACACAAAAAACGGACCTGTGGTTTACGATCTAACGAATTCGACCATACCACCGGTAGAGTTGGTAATTTCTAAAAGAAATTTTATCAATCAACCTAATAATTCTCATCTGCTGTTTTTAACGGCATGCCTGTTTTAAAAAAGCAGTTAAAATAATCAAATGCATCGCAAATTATCTATGTAAAACCAGTTAGGTATTCTCCTTAAATTTTATTCGGTTTGGTAACATAGGTAATTTCCTAAATTATTTCTGTTCAAATAACTGTCATTTTGTAATAAAAATATTTAAATTAAGTAATTATTTATGAATATTATCTATCCATTTAATTTAATTGACAGTATCTAATTGTTTAATATAGTTTTGACTAATTTTTATTCTCAGGTTGTGTCTGATGAAATCTCACCATCTCTCAAATTGCAGTTATCATTTTTCAAGTTGGTGTCACCATCTGGCATTTTTAAAGTTGGTGTCATCATCTGGCATCTTCCAAGTTGGTATCACCATCTCAAGTTGTGGTCTCAATACTTAATTTGTTATAAATCATGTCTTCTGAATACTACCGAAATTAGGATCCTTCTAGGCAGTGGTTGTAGTTACCACAGCGCGTTTTATGCTCCAGTTACCCTGGGGCGCTATAACGATACTGGGACATAATAGCGTTCAAATATTGGAAGTGCTGAATGGAAATATCGAGCGGTAAAAGCTATAAGAAAAAAGATTGATGTTTCAATTTATTGAACAATCTGTCACTTGAGGACAATAAGCTATTGACTATTGATTACATGACATAACATGACATGTATAGATTAGTTCAAGTGAATTTACCTGCATACTTCTCCAAAGAAATAATAGAATGCTATCCTCTCCCACTTAAAATAATTCCTTACATAACTTGAAGGTTGTTGGTACGCCTGCCCAATATGCTTTAAATTCTAAACAGAACTGGCTCCAAAAATTTGCGAGTTAGTTAATAATGCTCGATAGGTGATTTATAGATAACAATAATATTTGAATTAAAGTGAAAGGTGTTAATTTTGGACTATATCCAATAATCCTATTAAAAAATACTGGAAACAGGGTATGATTAGGTTAGGTTAGGTTGAAAATGAGTGGGATGATCTCATCGCCTTCCACTGCGACCCAGATGGATCTATTGTGGCTTATGACTAACTTATAGTTCACCGTACAAGCCACACCTTTTGATAAAGGTCATAGTTGAATTGGGCGAGACTTGTTTAAAGTCGGTAGGCTCCAGTCGGGTAAATCCGAAGATCTGGACCCTGGTTCTTTCCAGAGCTGAGCAGGTACATAAAATGTGCTCTGCAGACTCGTCCTCCACGCTGCAGAACCGACAGTCCGATGTTTGTTGCAGACCCATCCTTCTCATGTGGTTGCCCAGACGGCAGTGTCCTGTCCAGTGAAAATGCGTAGATCTTTACTACTCCATTCTAGGATCTGAGCAGAGGCGTTAATAGAAGGATTGGTTATAAACGCCTTCGAATGGGTTAGCCCTGGGGTATCTCTCCAGTTCGTGAGTGTTGCACCCTCCGTCCATTTTGAGATAATTTCTTTGGCAGTGCTTTTTGCAATGCCCAAGAATGGTTCTGGTCCTATGAACACATTCGGTTCCTCTTCTAGCAAGTGCGTCAGCTTTTTAGTTGTCCTCCACACTCGGCAAAACATTTTGAAGTGAAAATTCTACGACCTTGAAACTTTAAACGGCATAGGTGTTACCAATTTTTTTTTATTTTCAATTATTCTGACTAAACATTGTTGCCTTGTTTGTAAATATGTATCGGTTTGCCAGGGTTGGTGTATGTAAGCAGTAAATAGTTTAATGCAGTAAGTATAAGTTAGAAGTTGTTCATTATTTAACATAATGGTTAGTGTTATGAAAAACAATTTTAGAAAAATAAACAAGGCTAATGGGTAGGGTTGCCAGTCGTCTCGCTTTAGGCGTAATTACCACGCTTATTAACTTGCTGCCACGCGTCACGCCAAAGAACCAAAATGCCACGCTTTTGACTCAAATGCCGTGCTTTTTACTCAAATGCCACGCTTTTTACTCAAATGCCACGCTTTTTAAATCCAAACTTTTAATTAATTAATTTTGAGACCTGTTATTTAGATCTCTCCAGGAAAATACACCTGTTTTATAAAAATATAAGCGGAAAACCCATTTTCAGCTCTCCGCAAAAAAAATGATGACCTGTTTTTATAAAAATACCTGCTTTTTCATCTGATCCCTATCGTCATCGTTGCCACGCTTTTCCCTGACAACCCTATTAATGGGTTTTAAAAGAAAATGCACTTATTAATTATAGTGTTATCGAATAAAAATGTATCACAAACAATATGTTATTTATTGCAATGGTTAAAAATGTTGAAATTAGAAACAAAAATTTTTAGTTTAATGAGCATAGTGTTATCTTTTTTTTGGGTAACTTTTATTGTGACCTCACTAATACATGGTGTAGTATATCCCTGGAAAGGTCTCGATAAGCTGAGTTTAAAAATATAACTTTTAAAAAACCGCACCTTGTCGACATAGTGAAGTTTACACCCGAGGTACAGATATATTGGCGCGTTGACCATAGCCCGCATCACCTTGTTCTGAAATCGCTGCAGAATGTGCACGTTGGAATTGCTCGCTGTTTTTCCAGAGTTGAATTCCAAATGTCCACATTGGCATGAGAATAGCTAGAAGTTAACAGTCGTTGATTTTGACAAGTAGGGAAATTTTATTTTTGCAGTATAAAAATATTGAAGTATCGTCGGAAAATGTTGGTACTCGTCATGTTGGTAGAACATCAGGTGAGTAATGCACGTGAACAACCGTTCCTTTCTTGTGTTGCTCAATTTAATGAGAAAGTGCATATTGGCCTGGTAGTATTTCAGTAGTTCTTGTGAAAGTAGGATGGGTATTTTTTTTATTTTTACATTGTTTTTCAACCGAAATTTTTTCTTTTATAATTTGCAGAAAAAAAAAATTTATTACTAAAATTACAAACAAAGCACTTGCATATAAAAACATAAATAAATGGGTTGCGGCTCTGTATGTTTTCGCATTCGCCTTGCACATGTGTAGAAAAAGGAGATTTAAATCATCCATTAGTTCTGAATTTATCTCGTTTATCGTAACAAATTCAATTGTAGGTACGTCTCAAGTAACTCTTTTAAGGATAACAAATCTGCAATACGCAAACGTCTCCGTGGCTTCGAATTGGCCGAGAGTCTCAGATTCTGAGAGCCCGAGTGTAGCGTGCATAAATAAAGCTGGTGAAGCAAAGAGAGATAGCAGATAGCAGACGTGTTGCTGTAAGTATTCCTTGATATCAATTGATTAATTTTCTCGATAATCTGCAATATATATGGAAGCAAACATAAAGAGCCCTCGGGCGTCTGACTACAAGACTTCACTTGCACTAGGAACAAAGAAAGTAATTGGTTAATGCGAAAACTCGTTATCTAACAGAAACAAAAATCATTAATAATCTGGAATACCGCTGCCTTGGTACTGGCGCTACTGTCAAGCAAATTTATTTCAATAAATCCGATTCTGCCCATTTTTTCGGACACACAATATACACTGCTCAAAAGAGTTTTGACGAATTAAAGAATTAGACATACGAGGAGCACTTGTAAAGTAAGGGAATAATGTCAAACAAAATACAAATTACGATATTTAAATTGCTTTACTAGTTCTCAAAATATTGACCTGTAAAATATATACACTTTTGCATACGATCATCAGTGGCGGCTCGTGTTCGGATTAACATTTTCGGGTGCCTAGCTTAGATTTTGACTCGAAGTCGTTGAAAAGCATATCTTGGATAATATTTTAAAGTATATTAACGTGCGCATTTATCATTTTTACAAAATAATAAATAACATAAAAAACTTACCAGAATTTAGCTTTGAATGGTAATTTATTGCACTCCAAACCTATACAGTAAAATAAAGAATATTTTACATTGAACGATATTTGAAGTCTAGTCTTCGTTCTGTTTTTATTAGCAAAAAGGTCAATCACTCGTATATTAAAGTCGTCAATGTTATTTAGAAACACTTTTTTTATTTAGTTAGGGTATTATAATGTATACTTACAAATTTAGGTTTTACTTTGCGATAAGTCCTTATGGAAGAACAGCTTTGCTGAATAAGCGCCTTTTAACCAACCTATTTATTAAATTTAATTCTTTTTTTAACAACTATTGTAAGCTTTTCCGTTTGTTGGTTAATAAAGATTATTATTATTATATTATATATAAAATTTTAACTTTTGACTTAAAAGTCTTACTCAGATTTTATTTTTACACATATTTATAAATTGTAAGTTTATGTCCAAAATTTTTGTAGATAAGCACTGATGATGGCACAATGCCGAAAGCGCTTTGCATTTATTAATTAAAAAGTTTTGCACGAATTAAAAGTCTTTCCTTTTAAATTATATTAGAATAGATTCCAGCACAAACTACTCATTTAACAGACATTTAATTTATCCTTGTCAATTGGATTGTCGTCAGGCAAATTTGCTGGCCAATCTACTCTCGATTCCTACTTCAACAAAACGATAATCCACAAGCTCAATGCGGTGGAACATTATCGTATTATATAAAAGTTAATTGTTCTCTCACTGCTGCTGCGTTCAGAAGAACAATGGGTCGTATAATCTCATTCAGATGCCTTTGGGAAGTGAAGGAGCCATTCTGAATATCTGTTACATCCAGTACTTAATTTTATTTTTTTTTTTTAGTACAATTTTAATGTCGGGAACGTATCGACGTTTCGTTGAATAGTCAGTTAAATATTAAGTTTAACATAAAATGTTTAAAAAAGATTGGACATATTTGTGAGCAGATATGAGGCAAAGACATTGACTAACCAAAAGAAAAGTGAAATATAGGATATTTAGAACAAATAGTAATTTTCAAGCTGCCCTTATTGCTTTCACGTTTTCTATTTTAGATATTTTAAAAGTGCTTCTTCCGCTTGGTCCCGTTTATTTCTATCTTTTCTATTTTTATTTTTTGGAATGGACTTATCCTATAGACAAGGGTATTGTTGATAGCATTCCAAAACGACTATAACGACTATAAATGGTACGCACAAATACCTACAAGCCAAAACCGTCTAAATGAGCCTTCAGAAACGAAGTAGAAGAACTAAAAGTAATACTTTTATTATTTTTATTTCATCGATAACAAACTTATTTAGTAACAAATTTTTAAAACATCATACTTTATTATTATTATTAAGAATTTTGAAAAAGAAGCCTACCAAAATAGTTGCAAATTGAATCTTGTATAACTTGTTTCAATAATATAAAATTTATATTGAATAATAAACATATTACGATCAAATTTCCAGTTGAATTTTTATTAAGCACGCCACTGTTTTCAAGACAAACGAGACATTTCTCGCGACTGGTGGTCCATAAAATGTATTTGGTCTGTTTTTCTCAATCTGTGTTTTGTTAAACCATGCAAAATCTGTAGAAAAAGACAATGAATTTCGTCGTACCTACCAAAATTGGTTGGTCAAAATTAACGCACCAATAAATTATAAAAAAAAAAAATAGTATAATGAATAATTCATTTATTTTTTTATTTATTTAGTTTGAATTTCCATTAGTTTACAAATATTCAAATACGTAATACCATTAATAATTTTACAACCACATCTTTTTGGAACAGTTAAAATTATCTATTTTAGCACTTTTTTATGACAAAAATCTTTTTTGTGCCAAGGCAGATATGCGTACCTACAGGGCCGACTAGAGGGGGGGGTAGCCGGGACTAATTCCCGGGACCCGGACTCAAATGGGGTCCCGGCAACTGGATTTTTGTTGTTTAGTATGAGAAATTCGACACAAGACGAGAGGGGGAAGTTTTAGGTTGGGGAGCTGTTTTTTTTTTAGATAAAGCAATTCAAGCAGTGGAGGAAAAGTTTTTGTTTGAGGACCTTTTTTTTTATAAAATTCAATTCAAGTAGAAGAGGAAAAGTTTGAAGAGCTTTTTTTTGTCACGGGGCCCGATTTAGAGAATTGTCCTGGGGCCCGGCCTGGCTTCTCGGCGGCCATGCGTACCTAACATATATTAATCAAGAGTCAAGAGTTAAGGCCAGGACCACCCTAACCATACAGGGCTAAATGGGCTATAGCCCCGGGGAGCAAGCCTTTTAGGGGCGGCAATTTGATGTTAATTTTTTTTTTTACTACTTATTTAGTTATTCTTTATTTTTAATAAAAATCTTTTCACATAAATGTTAGGATTTACCCGGCTATGAAAATACATTTTATGTGTTTATGTTTTTTGTTTAGTGTAATGGTACCTAATAAATTGACTTTTTCTAGTTTTGACACTTATAAACCATTATTTTTTTAAATAAAAAGGAGCACAATGTTTTTAGTAGCCCACAAGCGCTGAATATCTTAGAACGGCTCTGGTTAAGGCAAGTTATAACAAAAAGTGTATCAACTACTTGTACTTGTACGTACCTATCAACTCCTTGTCAAATAATAATCTGAAGTTTCTAAATAAAAATAGGAATATAGGTAAATAGGTACCTATCAAAAAGTTTAATTTTCCTACTAAATATTCACAGTGAGGTTCCTCTTTCAAAAAAGCCCTGCGACATTTAAACAATCACTAAAATAAAAAATAATAATTCTGTTATTAATTTTCTCAACACTACAAAACCCCTATTTAGTTCGAGCCACTGGTTAACTTCAGACGTTTTCAATTCGATTGCCTGGCAATGCCAAAAAACGTTTCTTATTCATCAATAGCTAGGAAGATACGAGTACCTATACTCTCGTTCCTATAATATTTCTACTCTGCCTATAGGTATTCCAGACAAAATAAATAATATAAAAATTGCGATTGTGAATGATTGTGTATAATAAATAGATATTGAACCTACCTACGTATAGTACTTTACCCAAGGGTGGCTCCAGGCCGAATTTTCGGAGGGGGCCATTGCTATTAGCCATTCCTTTTTTAGCTTTTTTTTGAAAAAGTCTCATGGATTATAAAAATTTATTTTCATCTACGGTGGGCATGGCCCCCTCCCTGGAGCCGCCCTTGCTTATACCTATAGGTATAATCACAATCTCTAAAATGATAGCACACTAGGGCATACCTACATACCTAATTATTGTCTCAAGAAGGACAGAAGGATACTAATTTGTAATTTACCGATATAGGTTAAGTAGGCACATTAAATTTAAAAATAAAGCTTTGTCTAACATATTTATATTAAGAACACTTACCAGCCTTGTTTAAAGAGTTGAAACTGGATATTCCTAGACCTCTGATAGAAAGAAGAACTGAAACAGAGATGTATATAATGTATAAAGGAAATAATACCTATTTGGGTAGATATCTAATATAAATTCATATTAAGAAATCTTACCAGCACACTGAGAACTATTTCTGGGTTATTTTGCACTAAAATTATACGATATAAACTCACTATTTTAACAAGATCAAAAAAAGAAGCCAATTTCAAAATGTCCGCGAAAAACAAAAGACTGTATGTAATTACTGAGCTTACCGCTGGCGCTGGGACTTAGTCGTGCTTAGTCGGTATGTGGTCGGTATTGTCGCTCCCTCGAAATACCTACCAACTTCTAGTATGAATAAAATATCTTCAATTGTATACTTAATATTATTTCAACCTATTTATTTAAAGGAAATAAAAACTTAATAAAATCATAATAGAATAGGTAATGTTAAAGGTTTATGACAGAAAATGCTATTAGATATATACGCATCGCAGCGCCATCTGTGTATCTGTAACGAAATTTTTTTATTTTAAAATATTTAGGTTGATTGTATCGGTTAACCGTTGTATGAAGATTTAACCACCAGTAATTCTTAGCATAGGTAAGCAATTATGATTTAATATACATAAACTAACTTTTTTGATAATTTCTTTAAAGTTGACAACTTCCCAGGTAATGACGTTTGGGAAGTTCGCAATGGCTATTCTGACGGTACCGGATTATTAAAATGAAAAAAAAATCAATTTTAACATAAATCTTTTCAAGTAGTAGAAGCTTTTGATTTATTCACTGGCCTAATAGTCTAGTATCGTTGCGTGTAGTAATTCTTAAGTAATAAGTTATAATATCGTGTATGATACCCATACAATTAATTAAAGCTATCTATTTTTTCGGGATTTGATTCCGCATTCTGCGAAAATATTATTGATGGGTAATACGGAACAGAGCATTACCACTCTAATTCTTCTTCAGTCTTTTGATTCAATAGCAGTAATTTGATAAAGCACGGTGCAAGTC